CAGGCCGTCGCGCTGCGAGATCAGCTCCTCGAATTGTTCCGAGGCGCCGGTTTCGAACTGCGAAAATGGGCGAGCAGCCACTCCGAAGCGTTGGAGGGGCTCGACCCATCAATCTGTAGCGACGCGATGCTTTCGTTTGAGTCAGCCGATGACCAGGTCCTCAAGGTCCTGGGACTCCGGTGGCATTCTCAGTCGGACACCTTTGGCTTTCAAATCAACCCGCTGAATCGGAACTGCACGAAACGCACCATTTTGTCGGAGGTGGCCCGCGTGTTCGACCCCTTGGGTTTTTTGACCCCGTTGACGTTCACCGCGAAGTGCCTGATCCAGAGGTTATGGACGCTAAAGCTCGAGTGGGATGACGAACCCCCGTTGGAGGTCCGCCGCCAATGGGAGCGTTACCAATCGGAGTTCGACGCGTTGACCGCGCTCCGTATCCCGCGCACGTTCCCAGTGGGCGATAACATTCGATATGAGCTCCACGGTTTTTGTGACGCAAGTGAGCTGGGCTACGGGGCCGTAATCTACCTGCGTGCCGTCGCTCCATCGGAGAGCAAACGCTTGCTTCTTTGTGCCAAGTCAAAGGTGGCTCCCCTCCGCGCGGTCTCTTTACCCCGATTGGAGCTCTGTGCCGCGTTGCTCCTCGCCGATTTAACTGCGTACGTCCGTCAGGTGTTACGGGGTCACACCGTCATTGACACTGAGCGCGCTTGGTCCGATTCCACGGTCGCGCTTTGTTGGATTCGATCCTCTCCGCATCGATGGAAGACATTCGTACGCAACCGCGTCGCTCGTATACAGGAGAGGATTCCGATTGCGGCTTGGGGACACGTGCCCACGGATCAAAATCCGGCGGATCATTGCTCGCGCGGACTGTTTCCCCGCGACCTCGTGGCTAGCTCGATGTGGTGGGAGGGACCCGAGTGGTTGACGGACTTCGAGACTCACGTCGAACCGGTCCTCTCGGAGGAGTCGCTTCCCCGCGAGGAAGAGCGGATCACCTCGCTCGTGTCACTCGATCCGCCCGGTTCATTGCTCGCGTTATTGGATCGCTTCTCGTCGCTAGACAAAATCTGTAGAATAGTCGCATACGTTTCTCGATTCCTAAGTCGTTCCAGGGCCAGGCCGGCACCCGCGACCTTGGCCGTGGACCAACACGAATCGCATTCCGCATTGTTAACGTTAATCAAACTCGTCCAGCTGGATTCGTTTGAGGAGGAGATCGATCGTCTAGGGCACCGGAAAGGGCTGCCAAAACCGTTTCTCAAACTCGCTCCTTTTTTGGACCCAACGGGTCTTCTCAGGGTGGGCGGCAGGCTGATTCACTCGGGATTGGCCTACGAGACCAAGCACCCTATGTTGTTGCCCAACAAACACCGGTTAACCGACCTCATAATCGAGCGGGAGCACCGTGCGAATCTGCACCCGGGTAGACGCACGCTCCAATATCTCCTCGCACAACAGTTCTGGATCCTCGGAGTCCATCGCGCAATTCGACGCGTGCTCTCTGCGTGTTATAAGTGCTTCCGAGCGAACCCTCGCCCGAGTCAACCGCTCATGGCGGAGCTACCGGTCGACCGCGTGAGCCAGGTCAAGCCCTTTCGGTGAGCGGCGTCGACTTTGCGGGACCCTTCACGCTCGTCACT